AGTTCTCCACTCCCTAACTCTCCTCGTACAAGATGACCTTCCTTTCGACATCGACCTAGGTATGGACTGGGGAGAGGCAACAGGGGCCGCACTCCACTTGAGAGAGCATGACTGTAGGCTCCCTAGTCCGTCAGGCGAGGTTAAGACTGCTCGCCTGTTTCATGTGTCTAGAGTAGACAACTCCTTGGCACATTGTTGTCTCACTGCTCCCGCGTTTGCGCGACTAATGAGGAAGGAGCAGTTAGAGGATCAGGTCTTCGTAGTGTACGTCAGACTTGTCACTGAGCCTAAGGAAGAGGATAGCCCCATGGATCCAACCATCGCCAAGCTGCTGGAGGAGTTCAAAGATTTAACAGAGCCGCTGACAATAGTGGTGCCGCGGCCGATCCAGCACATAATAGAGATAGAGCCTGGCAGTAGGACTCCTAAGGGAGCAGCTTACAGGATGTCCCCTAGGGAGTTAGAGGAGCTGCGCAAGCAGTTAGATGAGCTCCTCAAGAAAGGTTGGACCACCGGTACTATTTGTCCCCAAGAAGGAAGGAAAATTGCGGATGTGTATAGACTATAGGGGTCTGAATGCGATCACAGTAAAGAACGCTAAGCCACTGCCCAAGATAGACGTTCTCTTAGATCGAGTGCAAGGTTGCAGATATTTCTCGAAGATCGATCTAAAGTCCGGATATCATCAGATAGAGGTCCATCCTGACGACCAGTACAAGACTGCGTTCCCAACTAAGTATGGGCACTACGAGTTCATAGTGACGCCCTTTGGACTGACCAGCGCACCTGCTACATTCCAGCGTTGCACGAATGATTTGTTTAGGTCGTGGTTAGATAGATTTGTCATAGTGTATCTAGACGACATCTTAGTGTTCAGTAGGACCCTCCAAGAGCACCAAGGTCATTTGAGGCAGGTCTTGGAGAAGCTGAGAGAGGCTAACTTCAAGATCAACGCGAAGAAGTGCGAGCGGGTCAAAACAGAGGTTTTGTACTTCGGCGACGTGTTAGACAAAGATGGCATTAAGCCTAAGGTCAGTAAGATAGCGGCGATTAGAGATTGGCCGATGCCCCGCACGTTGATAGAGTTGCGGTCATTCCTAGGCTTAGCTAACTACTATAGGAAGTTCGTGAGGAACTTCTCGACTACCGCCGCTCCCCTTCGCAGGTTGCTCAAGAAAGAGGCAATCTGGCAATGGGATAAAGACTGTACGTCTGCGCTAAAGAAGTTGAAGCGCGCATTAATAGAGTATCCTGTCCTCAAAGTAGCAGATCCTTCCTTGCCATTTGTCATCACCACGGACGGGAGGCGGTATGGTATAAGCGTTGTGTTACAGCAGGACGACGGCAATGACCCGTAGAGTTCATGTCAGCGAGGATGCCCTCAGGAAAGGTCGCTACCTCAACGTATGAGAGGGAACTCTACGCTCTCAGACAGGCCTTAGAGCGCTAGAAGCATTACCTGCTTGGGAGGCACTTCAAGGTGTATTCAAACCATGAGACACTTAGATTGCTGAAGACACAGGCCAAAATGACACCTAAGTTGACTAGGTGGGCCGCTGAGATAGACCAATACAACTTTGAGCTCAAGCCTGTTAAAGGCAAGTGCAATGTGGTTGCGGATGCTATAAGTAGGAGATCAGACTACTTTGGAGCTATAGTTCACTATCTGGATATAGGGAGTGACCTGCAGGAGAAAGTTAGACAGGTTTATGCGCAGGACCCTATCTATAGTGACCCCCCTCAAGAGAGTTAAGGAGGCCCCAGAGACCGAACCAGACTACCGCACTACAGAGGGACTTTTGTTTGAGAAGACTAAATTTTGTTTGAGAAGACTAATGTAGTAGACCGCCTATGCGTCTCTAACAGCGAGGAGATTCGTAGTTTGATCCTAGGGGAATGCCACGACACAGAGGGACATTTCGGTTGGCAAAAGACTCTAGCCAACCTGATGCATGCGTATACCTGGCTAGGAATGAAAGCTGACTGCATAGAGTATGTCCACAGTTGAAAAGTATGCAAGAGAAACGAGAGTACTACGCGAGCACCACTTGATCTTCCCAGACCCTTGCCTATTCCAGACCAGCCTGGAGACTCAGTGTCCATTGACTTTATGGATACCCAAATCAAGAGTAGCGGCACGGCAAGAGCCAAGTCATGGTCATAGTTGATAGATTTGGCAAATATCATGTTTTCGTTCCTTTGCCTGCAGAGGCCAGTACTGAATTAGTGATTCAGAAGTTTTTTTATTTTTGGGTTAGTGAGCATGGAATCCCATTGCCTATAGTTAGCGATAGAGATAGTCACTTCACTAGCCAGAACTGGCTGGAACTGATGAGAGTCTATGGATCCAAGTTGTTGATGTCGTCTGGCCGCCATCCAGAGACTAACGGTCAGACTGAGCAGATGAACAAGATCCTGCAGCAAGTTCTGCGCATGTATCAGACCTGATCAAGTCAATTGGGACGAGATGTTGCCCAAGGTAGCCAGTGCGTACAACAACAGCGTACACTTGTCCACCTGTCGCACTCCCAATGAGTTGCACAAGTCCTTTAGACCACGCAGACCAGGATCAGATTTATAGGCTACCACCCGGTACCAGAGAGTTTGCGATACAGCACGAAAGAGGGCTAGCTACAGTTGTTGAGAACCTCAGGAAAGCCCAGCATAGAATGATAGAACAAGCCAACAAGCACCGTCGCCCATCACAGTTCCAAGAAGGCGACTTAGTCCGGGTCAAGTCCAAAGAGTTTGCTCCTGAGGAAAACATCTCGCAGAAGTTACTGCCCGCGTATAGAGGACCGTGGCCAGTTCTAGAAGTTAGGGGCGGAGAGGATGGACCGTCCTATACCATAGAGATCCCAGCACACCTCCACACCTACCCTGTATTTTATGCATCAAAGTTGCTGCCGTTTGTCACAAGTCAGCAGTTTCCATCAAGATGGTCCATGATCCCTCCAGACATGCACGGAAGGTACGACATTAACGGCATCGTAGGTGAAGATGTGTTTAGAACAGGAGGTAGAGGTCGTCCACAGAAACAGTATCAGGAGCCAGAGGACGACCGCTGGTTTACGAGAACAGAACTTCTAGAAACAGCTCCCAACATAGTTAGAGCCTATGAGAGAGATAAGAAAGGAAAATGTTCTGCCTTGGACTGAGTTATTCTCAGAGGACCTCGAATTTAGGCCGGCAGGAGTGAAACGGTTTTCACCTGACAGCAGTAGCGAGTGCAGATACCAGGGCTCGATCCCTAGTCATCACCTTACCTGTGTGCAGTATTTGTGTCGACCCCGAGAGTTGAACCCGTGACCTGTGTATTTGTAACAGTTGGTAGACTGTCGTAGGGTCCGTAGGAAGCAGGGGTTCGATCTGTAGATCTGTCGAGTAGAAGTCATAGGGGGTTCTAGAAGCCGTAGCTGCTACAGTCCTGAAGGGTCAAGGTCGTAGCTGCTACAGCCTTCGAAAGGCCAGGACCCAGACTTCCGGAAGGTCCTAGTAGTGGCCTTTCGAAGTTGCTCACGTTTTGGCTGAGGCAAGTGGGCAAGTGGGCAGCCCAACTGCAGGACGTCGGCAGTGCGAATGCATCGAGTTGGCAGTGCAAACCCATGCAGTCAGCAGTACCGGTCCCAATCAGTCCTAGTCCAGTCAAGCAAGTACCGCATGGGACTGCGTGCACCATGGGCAAGGGAAAGGGCCAGACCAACGAGCTACAGAAGTATAAATCAAAGGGCAGCGTCCAGCCATACATTCATCCCTGCATGAGCCATGCGGAAGCGCTGCTACAGCGACTTGTGCGAGGTGGTCTGCAGGGAGCCCGAAGACGAAGTGGGCGAGAGAGAAGAAGCTTAGCCATAGCGATAGGTTAGCAGCGGCCATAGCCGCCATAGCTAGATGGAGTTCAGGGTGTGTGAGTGTGTGTACAGAGTATCGTGCATGGGATATCCAGGGTGATCCTGTGTGTGCGAACAGAGTTGTGTGCGCTACCATATCTCTGAGTTTTGAGTGGGCGCTTGTTGCCAGTTTACTACCTGTTTGCATTCATGCGAAGTGTGAAAGATAGCGAGTCTGATTGCACTGCTGCATCTATTCTGCAGACTTTACTCAATACTTGGCCAACGCAACTCACGAGACCATTACGGCACTTGTGAACATCCATGCTGCTAAACCCTTGCTTGACTATGCTACAACGATGCTAACCGAACACACAGCCGATGCAGGACACCAATCATTGAGAGCATTCATGTTCCTTGCCCTTGCTTGACTGTGGCAACTTCAGTGCATTCCTTTCGGACTCGGGTGCAAAGGGCGGCAGGAACGAAGGATCAAGTCCCCAACAGATCCGCTCAATCATGATCAACTCAGCACATGCCTATCTCGGAGTCTCTCATTGTTAACAACATCGGCACATACTTATCTCGGATTCTCTCATCGTCATGCTAGACAGGCAGCTGTCATAGGCGAACCATGCACTAACAAAAAAGATCACCTTGTAGAACCTCGATCGCAGCTTTTCTCATCCACTCCTCTCACGTCAACCGTGTTAGCAAGGCATCGTTTTCTCTCCATGCTGTTGTAGAATAGTACTCGATCTCCTGTCACCACCATCTCATGCCAAGGTTCCCCATAAAACTTCAACTTTATCCACAGGCCCGCCAGTGTCTTCTCAAGTTTGCCAAACGAGAACGACTGTGCTTCGTATTAGACTGTGCAGTCTGTTCTTATTTCTCAAGTTTTTAAATCTGGTTTCACTTAAATTATGGGCGTTGTTCTTTCCATTTATGTGGCACAGGGTCAGCTGTACTGTGCATCTGAGTCCTCTGACATCCAAATTCGGGTTGTTCACAACTGGAGGTGTGAGCGGACACAATGTTGACCTCCCCCTTACGGATTCACTCATTACAGAGATGTCTAAACTTGCATTCTGAACTGAGCACCTTGCCAGCATTTCACAATCATGCAGGTTGCTCTGAAATAAGAACAGGGGCATTGAATACACCTACCCGAGCTGGAAGTGGGCTCAACCCAGAGATTCCTAGTCCCAGTGCAGGAGGAGTTGGTTTGGCTGATTCCCTTCCCCCTAGACCAGCTTCAGCATGACTGTCCTCTTTACTTGGAGTATGCCCTCCCTCTTCTAAATGGTTTCTAGCACTCGAACTTGCATCGGCATGAGAGCATTCATCCTTCACAGAAACACTCTGCAGCTCTCCACTCCGCTGTGCATTGTTTCTCTGTTTCTCTTGTGAAGCTTCTGGGTGTGCTGCTTTTCTCGAACCATCAAGCACATGTGTGGAAGAACCACCACTGGAAGTCGCAGCTGCCACACGACCAGAGTGTTGATCAAGACTTCCCACTTGGCAAGCCTGTGGTGCATCTGTGAGTCGAGCAGTGGTTTCCATTCCCTCACTGAATACAGCAGCCGCTGTGGTCGAGGGAGCCTCCGCCGTGTCCATCGTAGCTACCCCATGTGAGGGATCCTCCTCAGCCTGCCTTGAAATCAAATGGGCATCATCTTGCTCCCTGGGTGATAAGCCGGACTGTTGGGACGGGTTACTTTGCTCCGGCTGTTGGTTGTGCTGCTCCTCCTGCTGATGCTGCTGCTGCTGGGAAGAAAGTGCAATAGAACTGGTCAGAAGTGCAGTCGTCAGAATGGCAGGCATTCGCATCAAGCAGTCAATGGGTTTTAGAAGGATGCAACATACTTTTAGATCTTCACACCATACAACCCAACAATCTCTACAAGTCAAAACCTTCATACCAGAGAGATGCCAAGGAATTCCGCAGATGAGGCCAACCCTTCTTGCATTCTCAGACCGGATCGACAGAACAACAACATACGTGAATCCCACAACTAAGCATCTCTATCTCTATACTTATAAAATGAAAAGCGGTCATTGCGTGATGCTTTTCGCAACGTCCCACAGGGAGTGGGACCAGATGGGCCACATAGCGTTTTGGAATAACCGCTTGGCCACATATTGGTTACAATTACACATCAAGTGGGGCCCCACTGCACCTCTCACGGAGCGTACAAAAAGTGAAGTGTAACAAGCGTGAGGCTGAGGGTGAGCCGAGGGAGAGGAGAGAGAGGGAGAGAGTGAGAGCACACACATACTCCCTCACTCGACACGACGGACTCGGACTGAGGATCAGACGCAGACACAGTGGCAAGGCACAAAGTCGAAGTCTTGGATTCCGAATGCCGAAACAGCAAGTCACACTGAGTACGGGTACAGCAGCAGAGAACTGGTACGAGACCAGTCCCCGTACCGTACGGGGAGCCGGTATACCGGTGGCACGTACTGGACCAGGGGCATTTCTGCAAAGGCTATACCGGTGGCACGTACTGGACCAGGGGCATTTGTGCAAAGGCCCCGAGGGCAGAACTGAAAAGTGCAGTATTTGAAAGTGGCGCCCGAATTGCAGCATGGCGCCATTTGTCCAAAATCCTACCGTGCCAAAGGAGGGGTTTGGAAAAAGGGTGCCAGGCCGAAAACAGGATGCAGCCGTAACAGCAAACAGATAGACCAGGGATCGAGCCCTGGCGAAGTCCGTAACAGAATGAAATTTCAACTGGAACAGGGGAAGATGCACCACCTATTCTAACTTCTTTCCTTTTGTGGCAGCTCATAGACTCGTCCGGGGCGCGTCCACCTTCCAATACAAGCACATAGCGCCAAAAGAATATTCTGCCAGCTCCACTACGCAGCACATGCAGGAAAGACAATACATACCGTGTATCTTCCCTAGTTCCCGTGGAAGATTGATTCATTCTCATTTTGCACATTTGGTGAGCAATGGAGTCGAGCTTTGGTGAGTAATGGGGCGAAGCCCAGTGAGCCCGAGGAGGAGCCGTAGGAAGGGCATGATGATGAGCGGGAGGGGGGAGTGGGGAAGGATGACGAACAGGAGCAGAACGAGTGGCAAAAGAAGCAGTGCAAGGAGTACGGGGAAGAAGACAAGATATGACAATGTATCTTCCCATGTTCCAGGAGAAAATTCGTTCTCATTTTGCGCGTCTGGTGAGTAGTAGAGCGAAGCCCAGTGAACAGTGAACGGAGGGAGGAGCAGGAGGGGCAGGATGACGAACCGGAAAAGGTGGAGGAGGAAACGGGGGAGGACAACAAACAGGACGAGAAGAAGTGGCAGTGGGAAAAATCCAAGGAGGGGGAAGACGACAAGCGGGAGTGGCAGGATGAGCATGATGAGGAGGGCAAAGATTAGTGGAAGGCGAGGAGGGGCAGAACAATGAGCAGATGGAGGACGGTGAACTGGAGGAGGCACAGGGGAAGAACAAACGGTGGGACGAGGTCGACTAACGGGAGGAACAGGAGAATATGTGTAGGTGGAGGATGGCCAATGGAAGGATAACAAGAAGCAGGTGGATGACGAGCGAGAGGGGGATGACAACAAACAAAAGGAGTTGTGCGAGGAGTGGAAAGAGGATGGAGACGACAAGTGCCGCAAGGAAGAGCAGGAAGAGGTGGGATGATGTGTGGGAGGAGGAGCAGGAAGAGGAAGGGCAGGATTAGGAGCAGGATGATTGGAGGAGGTAAAAGAGGAGGAGGAAGTGGGCAGAGACGAGGAGGTGGTGAGGGAGGAGGACCAGAGGAGGAAGAAGTAGGGAGGAGGTGAGCTGGGAGGAGGACGTTAGGCTGAGGCACAAGGTAGCCGGAGGACAACAGGTGGAGGAGGTGGCGGGAGCCAGGGCCATTTGTGCTTCTGGCATTTTCCTTTTTTTGCAGAGAGAGAGGTGTGCAAGGAAAATGAGCGATAGCGAACTTCAGAAATCAAACAGCATCATACACATGAGACCACATAGTTGCGAGGATCAGGGTCCTCGGTAGGCCTATGGGGCCCTGTTTGCAGCATTACCTGCCCTAAGTGAAGGCGGGCCTGGCTTTTTTTGCAAGAGGCCCTCAACTGTCAATTTCATATTTGGGGTCCAGGCAGTTGCGACGCGCCAGTTGGTTGAAAGAAACACAGGCCGAGCAACAAAGACATTTCCACGGCCCTCCGGGCCTTTCCAAAGAATGCAGGCCCTGGGCGTGATTCGCAGCCTCATACAGAGACAGTTAGGGCCAACCGAACGAGGCCCAGCAGCTCAGTGGCTGCTGTACGCAGGCAGCCTCTTGGGGCCTTCCGGAAGCTTCTAGGCCCAGGCCAGCCCAGCCAGGCTGCGAGCGCTGGCCAGCTCTTTTCCATAAAGGACAGAGCTCCGGCCAGGCAGCCTCATTCAGGCACTCGCATGCTAGCGGCAGCGCTGCTGGAGCAAAGGCTCGCGGCTGCTGGCTGGAGCTGAGAGGCGAGGTGCAGCACGTGCGGACGTGCAGAGGAGCAGGGCGCTGCTGAGGGCAGCGCCATAGCCCAGCCACCATAGCTGGTGGGCTTGGACTACAGTGAAGTGCAGGGGTGGTCTTCGGGTCAAAGAGAGGACAGGTGTGGGTGTAGTCAGGGGATAGGTGAAGGATGATGATGATGATGTGAGGGCACTTACCTTGTATTGGCGATGGTCTGCATGGGCGACATCTTCAAGTACTTCGGGCTGCCGCTGATGTCAACAGTTGCATTGTCTTGTTGTCATCTCTAGTAGCTGTGTAGTAGGCTGGGCGCTGAGTGCCAAGTGTGAGTGTGAAGGAACTGGACTCTTGTGTTGGGAGGAGAGAGTATGCTTTCCATGAACATTGGTTTTCAGTGCTACGAACCTCCATTGGTGTATTATTGGTGCAATGCTGCTCTCTGGACACGGTGTGACTATTTGGCTTTCAATGTGATGGTGTGATCTGGAATTGTCATCTCGCTGTTACTTATTTTCCTTGCGATTTGGTATCGGAGCTGGTTCATATTGCGCTTCATTGGTTCTTCGCAATAGCTTTTGGTGCTTCGCATGAGGTGTGGGGCAGTGATAAGGCATTGGCGTTGAACGATAGGCGGCCCAGGGTAGAGTGGGCGCGCCAGGGAGCTATGTGGTGACATATGCTGGATGATGAGAACTCGCTGATGTGGTATATTAAGCTGAGGTGGAACCGCATTCTGCTGTTGGTTGTGCCGAGGCAAAGACCGGTCATCATAATTGCACATCAGGTTGCCGGTGAGAAATCTGTGGTTGGGGCAGCATTTATCAGGTACGTTGCTCTCTTCGTTATCTACCCTCTTCATCTCTTCTTACCGTGAGGAAGTGAGTTCTGTCTTGAGAGTCCTCTCGATGTGAGGTGTCGCGAGCGCTCAACCTTGAGGGTCGACATTCTTCTTGGGCAGCAAGCTGGTGGGAGACGGGCGAAGCCTCTGAAGGGCCCTGGACGAAGCACTCGGGTTCCGGTCACCATGCCAACCCGCTGGGACTAGTACACGCATGCTTGGGCTGCAAGTCCTTGGTACCCCTGCTTGCGCAATAGAGGTCGTGCAGGGCATGCCAGCCTTTTATGTGACGCTTACCAAACCGTCCATAAATATTTCTGGCTGGGGACTCGGATTGAATCTGGCTGTGATCGTCGTCCTGACTGCGACGTTAAATAATTCTTGAGGAGATGGGGGCTCTCCTTGAATCCCTCCTGATCAGCCAGATCAACCGGGTGTAAGGCTCGTTCCGTACGAGTGTAAATAAGAGTGGACTGGCTGGCATGTTCAGCAATGACTTGGGGCACAGGGGTGGGCCGGATTGCAAACCTTTAGACAAGCTGCTCAACCGGATGCTAGCGAACGTTGAGACAGAGTGACTACTCAAGAAGGATAGAGGGGGAGGGGGGATTCCGGTAATTGTTCACAGTGGCAATCAACTATCAATCTGCCATCCAGTATACATCTCC